AGTTTAGTTATGCCCTTCTTTTTTGTCCTTACTGTAAAAGTAAGGGCATTGGTTTTGGAGAGGGTAAGGGAGTGTGGGGTGTGGTTAAGATGAGGACTATAGAGACTTCTGGATAATTGAAGATTTATTTCTACATGGATGATGGTTACAAGAGTATGCCCTAAAAATCCATTTGTTTCAGATGGTTTTTGTAGTTGCTTTTACTTTATAATAAAAATATTTTTCTTAAGGGATGCCCATACAGTGTAGTGGTAAAATATTTGCCTAGCATTTGTGAGGCCTTGGGTTCAATCTCCAGCAATGACCAAAAAAATTGGTATTTACCATGAGTTAATAAATAGATCTGTGCATTGAGCACCAAGGGTTGCTAACATCGAAAGCAAAGATGGGCCAGGGATTTAGCTCAGAGGTTTTGCCACCTGCCTTGCAAGTGCAAGGTTCAGAGTTCGATTCCTGGTACCTAAATAAACAAAACAAAACAAAAGCAAAGACATCCAGGGCCAGAGATTTAGCTCAGTGGCACCATGCCTGCCTGGCAAGCACAAGGTCCAGAGTTCAATCCCCAGTACAAAAAAAAAAGCAAAGACATCCAAACTCTGTGTGTCTTATGATAGAGTTCATACCCTACATGAAATTGATCTGAATCTGATCAAGTCACTAGACCCAATTCCAATTATAGGAAAAAGGACAGATAAATATTTTAAATGACATAACAGGGTGTTATGGGTTAGATCAAGAAAGTCCCCTGGAGGCCTGGTGAGCTCACAGGAAGAGCTGGTGGAAAAGGATTGGAATCACCACCACAGAGCTCAGCAGCTGAATATGCTGTGGGGGAGAGGGCCTGGCTGGAAGGGGTGGGTCCCTGGGGTTGGATCCATCTGCTCCCAGGCTCCTCCCTTCTCTCACTGCTTCCAGTTCACCATGACATGAGCAGCTTTTCTCTGCCCAGACCCTTCCACCATGTTCTTTCTGTGTTCAAGCCAGGACTAAATCTACTGAAACCATGAGCCAAAATAAACCTCTCCTCCTTAAAGTTTCAGTTGTCAGGTATTTTGTTCCAGGGACAAGGAAAGTGACTAAGACACAGCTATATAATCAGCAAACTCCAGTCTGGATAGAAAGAGATAATACACATGAGAATGTGGCCAGGGATTTAGCTCAGTGGTTCCGGTGGCCTGCCTCGCAAGTACAAGGTGCCAAGTTCGATCCCTAGTACAAAAAAAAAAAAAAATACAGAGAGAATGAGAACATTAAAACAGACTTAAAAAGACATGAAGCCATCCCAACCAATCATACTATATGAACTTTATGTGGATCCTGATTTTAAACACACCATAAACAAACGAACATTTGTAATATAAGATGATATCAAATTGGAACAACGATGCAATATTTGACAACATTAAGAAAATCTTGTTAAATTCTTTAAGATGTAAGCCAGGCATAGTGGCACAAGCCCGTAATCCCAGCACTCTGAAGCAGGAGGATCCAAAAGCTCAGTGCACCCTGGGCAACTTAGCAAGAACCTTTCTCAAAATTTAAAAGGATGGCCAGAGATGTAATTGAGTGTAAAGGCTGTAGATTCAACGCCCCAGTCGAAAAAACATGAACTGTAATAGTGATACTTTGGCTACTTTTTGGGGAGTGATACTGGAAATGGAACCCAGGCCCTTATGCATGCTAGGCAAGTGACCCATCATGGAAATCAATCACCTGCCCTGCTTAAGTTTTAGTTTGAGACAGGGTTTCATTAAGTTGCCTGGACTGGCCTTGAATTGCAATCCTCCTTCTTCAGTTGCCCAAGTAGCTGGGGTTACAAGGGTGCACCACCGTGCCCAGCTGGCTACATCACTTAAAAAGAGAATCCTTAGCTGGGCATGGTGGTGCACACCTGTACTCCTAGCACTGGGGAGACTGAGGCAGGAGGATTGCAGGTTTGAGGGCAGCCTGGGTTACACAGCAAGACTGGCTAAAAAAAAAGAAAGCAAGAAAGAAAGAGAGAGAGCTACAGAGCCTTTTTTTTTTTTTTTTTTTTGGTACCAGGGATCGAACTCGGGACCTTCCGCTTACGAGCCTAACCTTTTTGATATACATTTTAAAGTATTTACAAATGAAATAATACATGTGGAATTTAAAAAAATAATAGTGAGAATATTTAGTATAGTGAAAACAAGATTGGCTATAAGTTGATAATTGTTGAATCTCATTAACTAATTTCTCCATTTTTGGCTTTGTTAAAAATACCTTTACTGTTACAGATGGCAGGCTTCCCTTCTTTTTCAAGGCTCAACAATCTGCCACTGTATGTCCATACCACATTTCCTTCATCCATTCATCTCTCAGTGGTCACTGAGTTGTTCCTATATCTAGGCCAATGTGAATAATTCTGCAAAGTATATAAACAACACAGGGTTACACATACTGCTTCCAATACTGGTTTCTTTTGTTAGATATGACCAGGAGTAGATATGCTGGATCATTCATAAGTAGTTCTTTCCTTCCTTCTTTCTTTCTTTTTTGTGTGTGTGGGGGTGTTTTGAGATAGGGTCTCGCTATGTAGTTCAGGCTGGCCTGAAACTCACTATGTAGCATAAGCTGGTCTCGAACTCACACCAATCCTCCTGCTTCAGCCTCCCTAGTTCTGGGATTACAGGCATGTGCTACCATGCCTGGCTCTCCATCCTTTTTCATAGCTGCTACACCATTTTACATTCCCACCAATGGTTGCAGGGCTCCAGGATCTCCACAACCTCACCAATACTTATCTTCAATGAGATGCTACTTCATTGTAGCTTTTATTTTCATTTCCCTAATAGCTATGTTGAGGATCCTGGTCCCTCAAAAAAAAGTCAAAATCATAGAAGCAGAAACTATAGTAGTGGTTGCCAGAGCTTGGGGAAATGGGGGAAATGGAGAGTTGTTTAATGGACATAAAGTGTCACTTGTGCTAGAGATCTGCTGTATCACATAGTGCCTATAGTTCACAGGGTGGTATTGTGCACTGCAAAATTGTGAAGAAGACAGTTCCCAGGCTAAGTGTTCTTACCATGGCAACAAGAGTGAAAGAACACACAGGAAACTGGGAGCTGCCAGGGATGTTCACTACCTCAGTTGTGTGCCTGTGTGCACACTCATCAAACTATACATTTAAATGTGTGCAGAGCTTTGTACACTGATTGCACCTCAATGAAGTTGCTTTAGAAAGCTCATTGAGCTATAATTTTTGTAACAATAAAATCTACCAATTATAAACATGCAATTTAATAATTTTTGTGAATTATAGATTTGTGCAACCATCATTACCATCCTGATTAGAGTTTAGATATTCCCGTCACACTGGGGATTTAGCTCAGTGGTTCCGCCGCCTGCCTTGCAAGCTCCAGGACCCGAGTTCGATCCCCAGTATCAAAAAAAAAAAAAAAAGGAGGCCGTGGATTTAGCTCAGTGGTTTCCCCGCCTGCTGCGCAAGCGCAAGGACCCGTGTTCAATCCCTGGTACAAAAAAAAAAAAAAGATATTCCCATCGCCCCCAGAGTTTCCTTTGGGTCCCTTTGATCAGTTCACACTCAGGCCTCCAGCCCCGGACAACACTGGGTCCCCTTTCTGTTTCTGCAGATGTCCCTTTCTGGACATTTCATTTAAATGGAATCAAATAGTAGGTAGTCTTTTGTGGTTCTCTACACTAGTATCTAAGTTTGGTATTTTCCATAATAAAAACAATTTTTGTTGAACAATGATTTGTATCTGTGTAGCACTTTATTTCTTGGAGCAGTCTTAGATTCCTGGCAATACGGAGCAGAAGGTTCAGAGTTCTCACGTCTTCCTGTCCCCCACACCTTCGGCCTCTTCCAGCCAACATCCCCTCCGGAGCACACACTTGTCCCGATGGATGGACCCACACCATTATCAGGCCGGGACAGAGCTTACATTAAGGATCAAGGTGAGCTTGTGCATTCCTCGGGCTTTGACAAATCCATAGTGACACCAATCTGCCATTCTGGTGTCACACAGAGGCGCTTTGCTGCTTGACAGGTCCTCTGCGCTCTCCTCACGACTCACCTGCAGGGTATTGTGGTCAAGCCAGGGGAGTAGGTCAGGTGACGTTTCTTGCAAATTCTACAGATGGTCCGTGTGTGCATGCGCGTGCGTGCTCACATGTGCATGTACAGATCTCCCCAGGCAGGCCTGGGGAAGGTGTGAACCGGGTGGGGTGAAGTCCTCTGAGCCTGAGCCTCCTCCTGAAAGTGTCCGTGTGGTGTGGGGACCCCTGCAGCGGGCGCCAGCACACAGCTGTGTGTTTAAATTTCCCCACAGGCCAAGGGAGCCATCAGCAATCTCATCTCCCCTTTGTATTTAGCACTTAAAAATACTATTGGGAAAAACAAAATACTATTGGAGCCGGTTGCGATGCTGCATGCCAGTAAAGCCAGCCCTAGGGAGCAAGTTCGAGCCCAGCCTGGGCAACTTAGCAAGATCTTGTCTAAAAAAAAAAAAAAAAAAAAAAATTGGGGCTGGGGATCAAGCTCAGTGGTACAGTGCTTGCTTAGCATGTGTGAAGCCCACGGTTTCCTCCTCAGTAGAAAAAAAAAACAACCTGCCAGTCTTGTGTGTGACCCTACACTTGTGTCTGACCCGGAGGCTGAGTAGTGTGCCGATTGGGGGCTGCAGAGGGAAGGGTATGGGCTAGGCCTGGTCGGTGGCAGGGGAGGTGGACGGCGTCAGGATTTGGAAATATTCGGGAGAACTCACAGCAGTTTGGGGGCCAGGAGGACTCGCAGGTTTGGGCTCAGGTAGTTGGGAGGTGTCTCGTTTGTCTTGGTACAATGGAATGAGCCCAGGGCCTTCACAGTGAGTTACATCCCAGCCCTTTATTTTGCGATAGGGTCTCGCCAAGTCGCCAACTTGTCCAGGCTGAGCCAGAGCTTGCGTTCCTCCCGCCTCAGCCTCCTACAATGACAGGATCTAGGCGAGCCCGGCAGTGAGGGTGGCGTGGTCCTGCGGGGCCCCGCCCTTGTGTCACGTGGTGGGCGGGGCCCCAGCCAGCAGCGCGGGCCGCAATGGAAGCGGCTGGGACTCGCGGGGAACAGGGTCAGCGCAGTGCACAGGGCCGGGCGCTGTACTTCTGCAGCAGCATCCGCGGCGGCCGCGAGGACCAAGCGCTGTATGCGCGCATTGTGTCGCAGCTGCGGCGCTTCGGGGTGGTGCTCACAGAGCACGTGGCGGCGGCCGGGCTGAGCGCTCACGGTGATGGGCGATGGGGGCTGGGGGACGAGGGACGGGGGACGGGGGATGGGGGACGGGCGGGTCCCCGCCTCACTGCTTGCACCCCAGGCTGAGGAATCCGGTGCGGTCGGCAGGGGGTCCAGCTTTTTAATTTTACGGTACTGGGAATTGAACTCAGGGTCCTCTTACCGAGCCACTTCTCCAACCATTTTTATTTAGTTAGTTCTTTATTTTGTAACAGGGTCTCGCTAAGTTGCTGAATGCCCAGGCTGGGCTCAAATTTGCGATCCTCCTGCAGAGTGCTGGGATTCCAGGCATGCGTCACTATACCCAGCTTGGGAACCTCTTTGAAAAGACAAAATTAGTAGGAGGTTGGAAAGGGCTTGTGCAGTGAGGACTCTGAAGCTTAGGGATCACTGGTTTCACCGTGTACCCTCCCCTGCCTGGTGGTCTAGGGAGCTCATTTAAGATTCAGTGAATAGCCAGGAATAGCCCTGGACTCTTAAGGCAGGAGGATCGTGGCAAGTTGGAAGCCAGCCTGAACTACATAGCAAGCACCACCACCCCCGCCCCCC